AGAGAGCTGCGGAGGGCAAAGCCAGTCCCTGTCTGCAGAGGGCTGCCCTTCGTAACAGCGGTGTGCTGTGCTGCGCTGCGCTGCGCCACACGCGGGCACCTGCGCCCGGAAGCAGCGCTGGTGGCGGTCCGGAGCAGCGCCGCCCCCAGCTGCAGACAGCTCTCGGTGGAGGTCCGTGGCCACCGTGTGCTGCTGAAGCCTTGGGCACTGTCACGTCGGGCCGAGGCGCTGCTGCAGTGGTTCTGTGACCAACGTGCCTGGTGCCACCTCGAAAAGGGAGCTGAGGAGCTGGGCTGATGGGCCAGACCTGCATGGATTCGGCCCAGGGCCTCAGGCCCTGATACATGCATGAACTCGGGGTGTTGTCTGAGGTGACTTCATGACGTTATGACCTTTGCTTACCTCAGTGCACTGTCCCACTGAGCACAGTGTTTCAAATCCCTGCCCACTAAAGGGATCTTGCCGGGAGTTTGTAAACAGAAGTGGAGAATCTTAAAGGATGGCAAGCAAATCCTCCTCAGCCTTTTCCCCATGAACCCACGCTGCACTGAGGGGAATCACAGGAGGTTTGGGTAAAAAAGCACCTCCCAGCAAAACAAAGGTGACTTCTCTCTTTCCTTCCTCATGCTACCTAAGGGAGGATGCAATTAGCCCCAGCGTAGCGTCATTAGTAATAGCAGAAGTGCCAAACGCCCTGGGTGCACGTGCGTCTTTCAAAGCCATCTGGACAGAAAGTATTTCCTCGGCAGAAGGGAGCTGCGGTGCCGAGGGAGATGCTGGCCGACGCTACGCGGGCGATGCTGGCGTCTGGCAGATGCAACCGGCACCGGGGCGGCAGGTAAGCAAACACACCTCATGCAACTTGAGCTGGATAAACCCATTTTCGTCTTATTTTTACTGCAAAACGCTTTCCCTTGGCCAGGACTTAGCCTAAGGATGATGTGTGTAAGGAGAAAACACGTAGTAAAGGCAGCCCAAGAGGGATTTTCTAGTGCTGTCCCAGCGTCAGCCAGAGCTGCTGCTGCGCTCAGTGTCTTGATGAGATAATAAGTGGTTTCGGAGAGCAACTTTAATTAAGCTTCCTCTGAATGTCCCGTCTCCTTAATTAAATAACAATTTGCTGTGCTCGCACGTCTGTCGGTTTTGATAGGTACCCTTCTCTTCCTAAAGCGGCTTCTGCCTGCAGGCGCCGAGGTGGCTCATGGTGTGACAGCTCTGTCCTGGCTCCTGGGGAAGGTGCATCCACAGGAGCAATGCAGCTGGGGAAGGGGGCAAATGGGGGCTTGTTCAGCTAAAACCCTCCGAGGAGTATATAGGTAGCAGTAAATTAAAGAGCTTTGGTGCCGGTGGGTCTGGCCCCATTCGGGGCTGAGCGTCCTGTGCAGGGAAGGGGGACGCTGCAGTGTTTTGCTGCTGTTTGGACACGCGACAGACTGCCCAAGGAGCCCTGCAAACACCCCTGACCTCAAATAAAGTTGTAACATAATTGGGCTTCTGCTTTTTATTTCCTTATATTTGACATGAGGGACGCCTTTGCTTGTTTTGCAGTGGGTTACAGCTACTTGGAAAGGAAAGCCTGAACCAAGATTTTGGAGAAAAAAGCGCAGTAAACACTTCCACTTGTCTTGGTACCTTGGATTGACTGACAAGCGCAACAGCACATCGGGATGCAGCTGAAGCCCAAGCTAACATGCCGTACCTAACCACAGGGACAGCCGGTGTGCCGCCGAGCCGGCCATGCGCCTGGATGAAGGGCACTTGTGCTGGCAGCCCTCCTCAGGCTATAGATAGCCACGTGCCATCTCTGCCGTGGGTCTCACGTGGGGAGGCAAGAGAAGCAGCAGGAGCAGTCAGTTTTCCCCAGGACACCCCCGTACCTGCCGCAGCAGCTTCCCCTGGGCTTTGCACAACAGAGGCTCTGAGTTTCTCTACAAAACGCCAATTCCCAGTTCTTTTGTAAGCAAACCACTCCAGAAAGCCAAGGGATGCTGGAAGCTTTGGCTCCAAGAAGCAAGCAGAGAGGCAGGGCTTGGCATGATGCCCCTTGCCTGCGCCTCTTTCCCCAGGAGGAACATCACGTCTCGCTGCCAGATGGATTTCATCCTTCCCCTCTAGGCATACCTGTGTTTTGTAAGTCTCTCTTTGTGTTGGGCGTTTGCAGAAGTGCAGCTTTCCTGTGTCAGTGTGTATGGTGCTAGTGGCCCAGATTTCCCCTCTCTAAGCACACAGAGACCCTTCTTCCACATGCTGACCTGGATTTCATCCCAGCTCCTGCGGGAGCATGGCCGTGACCCTTTGAAGGCAATGTTAGAGCTCCCGCTCCCGCCGTGCATCAGCCCTAGATATATTCTGACGCATTCCGGGGGCTGTTTTCAGGGGGATGACTCAGAGCCGTCGCCTCCTGGGATGGAGGGACGGGGCCAGGCGCGATTCCTCGCCTCCACATGCTGACCTGGATTTCATCCCAGCTCCTGCGGGAGCATGGCCGTGACCCTTTGAAGGCAATGTTAGAGCTCCCGCTCCCGCCGTGCATCAGCCCTAGATATATTCTGACGCATTCCGGGGGCTGTTTTCAGGGGGATGACTCAGAGCCGTCGCCTCCTGGGATGGAGGGACGGGGCCAGGCGCGATTCCTCGCCCTCCGCTGCGGTGCCTGGCAGTACCCGGCACCAGCACCTGCCGCCGCGCTGGCTCCACGGGGAATCCCAAGGCAGGGAAAGCAGCCCAGGGCTGGGGTTCTCCTCAGGGCAGCACTTCATTGGGGGGGTCTCCACGGGGGTGCCCAGGAGGGTTTGGGTGATGGTTCACTGGTGGGGGACAGCAGGTCCCCCATCCCAGCCTGTGCCCTCACCGAAGGGCAGGCTCCAGTGCCCTTTAACACAATAGCTACTACCCTTTGCAGCTTTTTCTGCCTTTTCTATGTTCAAGGCAACTAAAATATTAATATGTTCCAATTCTGAAGACTAACATACTTCAGAAATCAATTCCTTAAATATTATTTTCCTTTTTTATTACATCTGCCATCCCCATGCTGAGAAGAGGCAGAGCTCGGCTGAAGCCTGGGCAAATCAAGGCCAGCAGGCACCCGCAGGACCGCAGTTTGTAGCAGGCTCTGCAGCAACTTCATCTTTTGGGACTGCAAAACCTGGGAGGATGTGGTGTGGGGACATGGCTCTGTGCTCACCTGCGCCCTCGCTTTGTGCTGGCACCACCCTGTGTCGCTGGCTCACTTTGGCTAGGCGTTACATAGGGACAGCGGTATTTTTGCCTCCAAGATGATTTCTATTAAAGGGAGAAGGGATTTTTGGAAGAGATGAGACCTAAAGGCTGCATTCATAATATTTTCAGTTTTGCTAATGCCCACATGAGCTAGCTGGAGGTGAGACTTCATCACCCTGAGACACCGGAGCCATTCTTTGGACACAAGAGGGAGTCCTCAATCACCAGAAAGAGAGGTTTTGCTTTGATTGCTGTGGATTAAAATGCACTGAGAAAACACTGGTCATCACTTGGAGGCCTTTGGAGTGTTTTGCTCTCCACTGTCGTGGGGTAAATCCGTGGTAGATCCAGGAGAGTGGATCTTCCCCATTTGCAGTGGCACAGGTCAGCTCACTGGTTGGGTGAAATGAGTCCCCGTTTCCTGAAGGACTGAGAATTATCCCTGAAATCAAGCACAGCTGACAGCCACCCCCCCCATTTTGCAGAGCCAGCTAAATGCAGGAAACGGAGGCCAAGCTCCATCTGCCTCCACGCTTCTTCCCGCCAAGGCATCGGGACCACACGTTCCCGCTGGCCTCGGTGCCTGCATGCACGTGGCATCGGCTCCTCCGAGGGCATCGGCCCCAGCAGCACGTCCCCCCGCGGGCTTGGGGACAGCCGGCAGAGGGAACAGGGAGGCCCCGACACCCCTGTTCCCACTGCCCCCGACGGACGTTTGCTGCTGGATGGGGATATTTTGGGAGACGTGCCTTTCCCATCTTACCCAATTTAATTAGGCACAGTATAATCTTTCTTAATGCAGCTTCCAGGGGGGAAACACACCGGAGGTGGAGGTGCCACAGTGGCACGTCTCCAGTCAGGACAGCCAA